GGTCATGGGGTGACCCTATAATAACATAAGGGAGGACAGGGCTCTACAGTAACACAAAGGTCATGGGGTGACCCTACAATGATGCAGGTGGGGAATGTGACCCTACAAAACCGTGGGGTGACCCTAAAATAACACGGTAGGGGGACACGTGACCCTACAATGACACAGGGTGACCCTACAATAACATGGGATGATGTTATGATAATGGGGGAGGTCATGGGGTGACCCTACAGTAGCACATGGAGGGCCAGGGAGTGACCCTACAGTAACAAGGTGACCTGTGGGGCGGCCCTATGGTAACACAGTTGGTGGATGTGACCCTACAGTAACACAGCAGGAGAGTGGGACCCTACAGTAACATGGGGTGACCCTATAATGACATGGGGGGACCCTACAAAAACATGGGGGACCCTACAATGACATGGGGTGACCCTACAATAACACAGGTGGGGATTATGACCCTACAGTAACACAGCAAGGGAATGGGACCCTACAATGACATGGGGTGACCCTATAATGACATGGGGTGACCCTGCAATAACACAAGCAGGGGAACGGGACCCTACAATAACCCAGGTGGGGACTGAGACCCTACAATAACATGGGGCGACCCTACAGTAACACAGGTAGGAAATATGACCCTACAGTAGCACAGCAAGGGAATGGGACCCTACAATAACACAGGTGGGGATTGAGGCCCTACAAAAACATGGGGGGAGGGGGAAGCAGGAGGTCACGTGAGAACAGCGCCACGCGCGAGGCGACCTTCGACCCGCCCGCAACACAACGGGAGGGGGCGCGGCCTCCGTTGCCGTGGCGACGGCGGGGCGGGGAGCGGGTGGTACCGCGGTGTCGCACAGCGGCCGGTGCCGTAGAAGGAGACTCGGTGCCGTAAAGCGCGCCGCGCTGCCGTAAAGGACGCCGCGCTGCCGTAAAGCATCTGGAGGCGGTGCACTGAGATGGCGACGATTGGGCTCAGGGCCGGCGGAGGGGGAGCAGTTGGGGAACACGGGGCTCGCGTCTGAGCGTTGGCCGGGAACGGCAGCGAAAGGGTCTGTGCGGGACCGCCGAGCGGGGAGGGGTCGTTCTTTCCCCTCTTATCTTTGCCGGTAGCGGTCGGGCCCGGGTTTGCGGCCTGCTCCCCCCTCCCCCCCCCCCGCCTGAGGCCTAGTGAGCCCCGAGGCCCCTGCGGGCCCCTGCTGGGGGGCCGGGTGCGCTGTGCGGTAACCGCGTCCTGGGGGGGTGGCCGTCTGACTCCAGGGGGTCCCTCGGGGGTCACTGCCACTTTACGGGGGTGCAGAAGGGGTCCCTGAGCCCTGCGTGTGGCCGTTGCCCTTAGGAAGGGGCGCCCTGCTCTTCTCAGGGGGCCCCCTGTTATTTTAGGGGGGGGGTCCCTGGTGTCCCTCAGAGGATGTTGCTCTTTTTAGGGGGGGGGGTGCAAATGGGATCCCCGTTCCCCCCCGTTGGGCCGTTGCACTTTTGAGGGGTGAATCCGTGCTCTTCCCTGAGGGTTTCCCCCTTCTTTGGTTGGGTGGCGAGGGGGTACGTGGTGCCCCTCGGGGGTCACTGCTTGTATAGGGTGGGTGCAGGAGGGGTTCCTGCCGCTCCCCGTGGGGCTGTTGCCCGTTTGGGGGAGGCCCTGCTCTTCCCAGCGATTGTGACTGTGCCTTGAGAGGGGCACAGAGGAGGCCTCCCTGCTGCCTGCCTTCCCCTCCCCACTCCCTGTACGCTGACCCTTTGGGAGGGGTCCCTGCTACCCCCATGGCAACGTTGTGCCTTTGAGGTTGGGGTCCATGGTCATCGCCGTGTCCTTCTGGGATTGCTGTACCTTTGGGGAGGGGGCACAAAAATGGGGATCCTTGCTTCTCCACGGGGGTGCCTCTGGGGTGCTCTATGCAGGGGCTCCTTGCTACCCCACCCAGGGTGCTCTGCATCTTTTGGAGAGGGGGGTGGGCACCTTGCTCTTCCTAAAGGGTCACCCCCTCCATAGGAGGTGTCCCTGCTTACCCTGGGGAGGGGGTCAGAGTGCTTTTTGTAGGGACAGAAAGGAATCCCTGCTCCCCCCCGGTCCCCTTCCGGGACCCCCCTCTCCCCCCCGCGCGGGGGGGGGGGGGGGGGGGGGGGGGGGGGGGGGGGG